ATCAAAAGCTTCGCTTAGTACATATGATTTCCCTTTGCGGTAAGGACCAGCGATCGACACTACACAAATGGGTCCTGAAAAAAAAAAGAAAAAAAAAAGTGAACATACAAAAGTGGTTAATGGAAATAGTATTAAATAAGAAAACAGCTAACATTTCGAGACGCCACCACTGGTTACCCAGCGAAGTGACGAGAAAATTTGCTTCAACCAATCGGAAGCACTACCAAGATCTGGGTAGTGACGAGTCATCCGTGGAATTTCAGACGTCGTTGAGTTCGTGGGGAAACCAGTGATGGCGTCGCGGAATGTTGGCTGTTTTCTCAGTCTAAATGAATGGATGATTTTAAAATAACATAAAAGAAAGAAAAGGATACAGTGATTCGTATAAGAGAACTAGTGTATTTTTAATCTTGTTTTGATAGCTAAAAATGCTACCCCTCTCTAATCCCACCAGTCCTTGGTTGCTCAAGTAAAGAGTGTCCCCTCTTTCTTAGGTAATGTCAACTAATCAGATATGCAGCATGATATGCATACAAAATATAGCCTGATTTTATGGCTGGTTTTCTTAAATATAATATTTTAAAATTGTATATTAGTTAGGCCTCTCATATTATACTTAAAATAAGGTTCTCCTGAGAACAACGTCTGGCTGATAACTCACTAAGCCTCCTGATATACACCTATTGCAATACACTGGAGACCATTTGTAAAAAGGCATTAAAGAGAGCTTTCAAGTCAAATGGCTGCTAAAATTCTTAACCGTGAGCGAGGTGAAAATTTTCATTTTTAAAATCTCATGGTAAAAAATTAGAAGCCTCTTCTTTTAACAACATTAAATGAATAGGATACCGCCTGATGAAGCTGCGTTTTTGCATGTGCCAGAATGCTGCATCTCAATAAAGAAAATCAACGCTATTCTTTTTTTTATTCTGTTTTTAAAAAAATTGCCTCAAAAATGGATAAACAGGTAATGTTAAGTTATTTATTGTTGTTCAACAAACGCCTTGAATTTGATTTTTTTTTAAACTCCATCCAAATTTCCCACCAGCACATGTACAGCCAAGCAAACTCGTTGAAAATTTTCAGTATTTGCATACTACAACAGTGAGAAACCTAACGTCAAGTCACTGTCTTAAATTAAAAAGCCTAGGATTCAGTGTTTTGAAATACACTGTCTTAACGTTCTGCTGACATACTAGAAGCGTTAGCAGCGTTTGCTTTCTAGGTTTCTAGGCTCGTTGCGGGCACATAATTTACTACACTTGCTACAATAATGCACCGCAAGCTATGAAACATCGATCATGCATCATTTTTCTCTGAACCAACCTTAATTGAAATAGGTATATAACGTTCCGTCCAAGAAGTTCTGTTAATTAATTCACCTTTTTTAGTTTGTTGTTGTTTTCTTCTTCCTTTTTCTCTTTTTTCTTTTTTTTTTTTTTTTTTTTTTTTTTTTTTGTTCTAGTGAATTCATACTTAATGGTCATACTTTCATTTACCTAGGTCAATTATGAGAATAAATATCAACTCCTTCTATTAAACGGCATTCCTCTCCCGGTATTTTTCTTTTGCCGTTCATACTCTGAAGATTTTGCAAAAAATACTCTTTATTTGAGTGAGACACCATTTTTACTTTAAGTGACCATCCGAGCCACGCGAAGGTCTAGTCGTTGGCAGGGCAAAGGCAGTACCTTCATTTCTCAGTTATTCTAAGGCCCTGCGTATTGGTCCGGCCCGGGGGATTAAACCTGCGACCTCCCGCTTTGAAGTCAAGTACTCTACCGACTGAGCTAATCCTACCGCGGTTAATCAAACCAACTCAAATAAACGTCCGAAAACAGTGGGCCATTCACCAAGGGTGGAATGAATAACGTTTACCTTTGACAGTCCTCAGTTTCTGAAGAGCTTTATCCACGACATAGAGCGACGAACGTGGTTCCTTTTTCTTGGTGTATTCACCTGTAACCGGATTCCATTGACAGTTGTTGGGCAAACAGAGAGGTATTGCCATGTTGTTGACTTCAAATTATGCAACTGTCCTGGTCAGGCTGGAAAAAGGAAGCAAGATGAAGAGTTAAGTTTCATACTGTATAACTGGGTCAACAGGGTCTCCAGGCTTTTCACTGGCGGCGAAATTGTTCGGCTCCCCCAACAGTTTATAGAGCAACAAAAGACACTAAAAATACTCACGATGAATGAAAATGAAATTCTAAACCTGTGGTGAGAATATAGCTTTTCTAACTGCCTCGGATACGTCACCGAAGTGAATTGACCGATAGGGACTGGGAAAACGCAGTGCAGGGATCACTGGGCAAACTGAATTGTATAGCAGAAGGGGTTTCCCCCCTTTATTTTAAGCTAGAAACCGAAACTGAAAATTATATCCTTTTTTCATTTTTAAATGCTAATTTCCTACGGTTAGAGCTAAGACCGCTTCCGGATACGTCAGAATTGGCACATGTATCATTGGACCTAATATATTGTTTATAGCTGCCTGAGAGTTTTAATTCAAAAATTTCAAGCGCAATCGCGTTTTATTCTAGTTAACCTTAATACAAAGGTCTTTAAATATATATATTATTCATTAGAAATGAACAGGGAATTAAATATTTGCATTGTTTTTAATTTCCCATTTGCTGGTTAAATTAGCCATGATAACCGTATTTCTTCTCAATTGTTTCACCGGCTTCGCCTGATAGTCTCTGATTTTCCGTTGCGTTTTCTTATCTTATACATATACCTACCTTGTTTATGCTACAGACTCCGTGGTTCGCTTCGATTCGGTATAAATTGAACAATCTATTTAATTGTCAAACGCTTGCAGTATGAGTATACGTGCAATATTAACCTTACAATGTTTGATATTGTTTGGGTACTGTTTTTTTAAAAAAGTTTTAATACCCTTACCTCAGATAAACTGGAAGGTCAAACCACTCCTTCTTTCAATGGTCTATAATGGACTGCACAGAAGCCAAAATGCCACTGCTAAGCTTATATGTTGAAAAATGTTCGTATATTCACTTTCCGAAGGAGAAAGCTATGCGTACAATCGTGAGTAATCGATAACAATAGTTACCGGAAGCTAAAAGAGCTTCCCCCAGTTCCTAGAAACTGAAAGGGACAAAAGCTCGGGGAAACTACACAGCTAGTGTGACCGAATTTGATTTAAAAGAAATTGCTAGTTTTCAAGGTCACGCTATTAAAAATGAAAACCGTTCATAAGATAAAGTCCAGAATCATGAATATGAAAGAAGGTAAATGTGTAAATATCCAAGCTGAGATTCAGGCCAGCGCAATTTTTCATACGCGAGACATTCGGGGAAACGATGCACCCAAATTTATGGAAATTTGTATGGAGACGTCATGTTAGTGTTGTTGATCCGCGCCAGATGTGCACAAACATGACGACCGGAAATTGACAGAATCTGTCACTGAGTTCTGCTATTAAGGCGTAAATTCATCGCTCAAGGAACTCATAAACATTAAAGTAATAATTTCTCTAATAAAGCGATTGTTTAGATAGCAAAATCCCATCAAGTAACTTATTTTTTAAACCTATACTTGACACCTCACTCGGCTGCCATGTAAATGCCACGTCATTAAAGCTCACATGTTCAACATTTTCAACCGCACTGTAACATAAGCGAAGAGCAATTCAGTCAAAGTGGAAATTTGTATAACAATTTGTTTTTACCACTTTATTTTGGTAAAAACTTAGGGGGATTGATAATTTAGTTTTGAATTTTGATGACGTCAAGAATGGGAATGTCCAAAAAAGTTCATTGTTATTGTCTAGACAGGACAGTCTTGGATCCTAGATTCCATCCCGTGGATTTCGGATTCCAGGTACTGGATTCCAGTATTTTTCAGTGGAACTTGGATTCTGGATTCCAATAATTAGTGGAATTGAACGAGCGCAAAAAACCACACGACATGCGCACTAGAGCTCTCGCCACTGTTTCTTGTATTCCCGCCTTTCGATTTTCAAAATGGCGGAGGACTAATCAGAATCTAACACGTCACTGCAGACGCTGCCAAGCCGCTGTCCTCGCTCTGAGAATTTTTCAACATCGTTAAACGGTATCTGTCAGCATTCAGCCATGTCTTGGCGACGCGAGCGAAAGATCGGACTTAAACAGGTTCTCTAAAGCGGCGATGTTTGTGACCAGCTTCGGAGCCTATTTTGAAGCTTGTTGTTTCCAAGAAGGGTAGGTTTTTTGCGTTCCTTAAGGTGGTCGCTTACTCTTTAAGGTCAGGAAAGAGAAATGTTGGAAGTGAATAGTTCATGTGAAACATATCAAATATGACTTTTTTTCGTTTCCATGAAAATTTTTTAGAGCTCTTTAAAAGTGGACTATTGTTTCATGACTTAAGAATTACAAGGAAGGCTTGTTCAAGGCGAAGTTGGAAGAACTACAAGAATATTTACGACATTTACCGCCTTGCTTCGCAATATTTGTTTCTACTGACAGTCAAAGGAATTCGATTTGGAACTAGTTTTCACGAACATTGAAATCTAGGACTTTGTAATCTCACCTATAAAAGTGGTTATCTGCAGATTTTTTCTTTAAGTAGTAAAGTTCGGTTGATGTACATTTTTTTTCTTTTTTTTGAGGCGCTTAATATAAATACACCTTGGTGACACTGAATTGTTGTGATTGCTCACGTTGTTTTCTCAGCGGCTACACGGCTCACGGCTACAGTGTAGCTGAAAAGTCATTCTTCAAACATCGCTTTAGCTTTTTAGAAATAGTTGTTCATTGACATTAAAGAAAATGAAAATCACATTATTTTCGAACTCTACCTTTCTGTTTATTAAGTTCATGTTTACAAACTCTAGCAAAAAATGTAAGTTTAGTAATAATGATAATAATGAAATTTATGTAGCGCTTATAAATCGCTGTTCTAAGCGCTTTACAATGTAAAAAAGGACATAAGAATATCATTAATCACCAGCTTACATATAACCCTACTGTACATATTGGGAAATTTATAGCGTACACATCTTAAAAAGGAAAAAAAACAAAAAAAAATATGATGAAACTAAATGTCATATACCTTTTTAAAAAGAAACGTTTTCAGCTTAGATTTAAAAAGATTAACATCAGAACAAGCTCGAATTTCAAAGGGGAGCTTGTTCCATAGTCGGGGGGCAGCAACGGAAAACGCTCGCTAGCCATAAGTTTTCATGTTAAAATTTAGTTCTTCAAGGCGTAAATGATCCCTTGATGACCGTAATGTTCTTGATTGATGGTAAAATTTTAAAATGCCTTCAAGATAAAAGGGGACCGGGGCCATTCAATGTTTTAAAAGTTATTAAATTTATTTTAAAAACAATTCTCTCCTCAACAGGAAGCCAGTGAAGATCTCTTAGAGTCTCGGTGATGTGATCTCGTTTTTTGAGTCCGGCGATAATTCGAGTAGCCCCATTCTGAACGGACTGCAACTTAACTATGTCCTGTTTTTGGGCACCAAAAAGAAGAGAATTACAAAAGTCCAACTTCGAGCTAACAAGACTGTGAATTAGAATTTCTGTGGTACTTTTGCTGATGTATTTTCTTATTTCAGAAATATTTGGTATGTGATAGAAGGCACCCTTAACTATTGTATTAACGTGAGGCGAAAGTGACATTGTGTCGTCAAAAATCACGCCAAGATTACGAGCCTGTTGACTGAGGGCCTGATGTTTTCCATGCCAACAGAAATCGTGTGAGGGGGCAACGAATGACGAAAACGGGAGTGCAGAAAAATAAAATTCTGATTTATCATTGTTAAGCTTTAACTTGTTGGCAGTCATCCACAAATTCTCGGCTTGCACTGTCACGTAATGAAAAATAAAAATGCAAACCATTCAATACAGAAGGACTAGAATCTGGGAAATGAAAAAAGATAAATATACAAAAACCCTTGCCAAGAATCAGTTCTGTGAAATATTTCAAATGCGAGATATTGGGAAAAACGTTTTACCTAAATTTATAAAGCTTTGTATGGAAACGCCATGTTGGTGTTCCTTTCAGGAACACCAATATGGCCGCCGGATACCAACAGAAACATATGTTTTCGAGTTTTCCTACTAATGCGTGAATTCTTCGCTTGAGGAACTCATAAAGATCACAGTAATATTTATTCTGAGACAAGGAATGTTTAGATTGCAAAATCTCCCAAAATCGGTAATGTTTTTAACCCACATAAGAGCTTTCCCGGCCGCCAGCTAAATGCCGCGTCACGCAAAAGCCTGGAAATTCAAGCGTCCTCTCTCGCAAAACGAAGAACCCTTTCGAACCAAAAATTTGTTTATGTAAAGGTGTTTAGGTACTGTAATACCTCGTGAAAGTAGAAACTCAGAAGAATCGATAGTTTCTTAGTTTGATTTTTGGTGACGTCACGTGCAACCCAAGAATTGATGTCAGCAACGCAGTTCTCAAGACGATGTTTTGCAGCCACTAGATCAGAGGTGTCATTGCAAGCGAAAGATGTATAATGCTGCGAGTCATCAGCATAAAAGTGAAACGAAAAGCCATGCTCACGAACAATATGACCCAGTGGAGATGTATTCAATAAGTAAAGCATGGGGCCTAGGACAGAATCTTGAGGCACACCCCAATGAGGGGGTCGTACCGTTGATGAAGCGTCGTCTACTTTCACAAGCTGAGTACGGTCTGTAACGTAAGATCGTAGCCAATTCAGGGCTTTTCCTTTGATACCGAACCTAGAGGAGAGTCTTTCTAGAAGAATTTCATGATCAACCGTATCAAGAGAGGATAAAGGGGACAGAGAAGGCATCCCCCATATAGTCCCTATTCCATAGGTTATTCGTCTTGAGTTATTTTTAGAATCGGGATAAAGTTACCTCGCGCGATGCGTGGATGTTTCGTGGAGGTTTCGCATGACTAAACGCCGTGCAAAACATGTCGGGTGAAAGGCAGTGAAAGCGTAAAGAGATCGAGAGCATTCCTGAATATTGAAGCGAAATTAGTCGGCGCTCACCTGGGAAAAGGGAATCGCTGGACTTTTTGACACAACTTCGAGTTAAACTGATTTCACGGGTTAGTAAACTGAGTGCTTTAATAAAATGAGAAATTTCGCCGGTCTATTGAAACCGGTCGTTTGTACAATAAAGCAAGCAGGACGCCAAGTGTTATTGTTGTTGAATAATAAAAGACTAATAAAAGAATAAATATCAAACCAGAAGTTGCTCTCCTCAAACTGTAAATTATAAATGATCCTGAGAGAATATTCAGTGTGTCAAGGATTTCCCTGCTGTACTGTTAGCTCTGTGCAAGAGAGGAAGGGGGATTCTTTTTTAATTTCCGTTTCGCTGACACAGCTTTAGCAGAAATCCCTCTGTAGTCGTTTTTGTCGACAAAACGAATCGCAATATCGCTCTCCTCGTCTTCCGCCATTTTGTTCTTCGTCAATTCGTGAAGGACGCGTGCCTCTGAGCGTGGGTCATCCACGCGGAACCCATTCGAGCTATGTGATTGGCTGTTGTCTAATCCCCCTTGAGATCTGTGGTGTTAAAAATAACTCGAGACGAATTACCTATGGAATAGGGTGTGTATGGGGGATGCCTTCTCTGTCCCCTTTATCCTCTCTTGACCGTATCAAAGACTGCAGAAAGATCTGATAGCAAAAGCAAAACACCGCAAAGACTATCGATGACTTTGAGGATATCATCCTGTACTCGAATCAGAGCTGTTTCACAGCTATGATTAGCTTTATAAGCAGACTGAAGTTCCTCATTTAATCCATTTGAACATAGATATTCCCAGAGTTGCGTAGCCACTACTTTTTCTGTCGCCTTGGACACAAGCATGAGGTTCGATACCGGTCTGAAGCTTGGATAGAGCTCAGTGTCAATAGACATTGTTTTAAGAAGAGGAGATAGAATAGCCCCTTTCGTAGGCAGAGGAACTTCACCACTTTCTAAAGAGCAATTAACAATCTTTGTTATGATTGGTACCAAATCAGAAAAGCACAACTTAAGTAAGTTAGAAGGAATCGGGTCTAGAGGGCACGACTTCCTAGCCATTNTCGAATCAGAGCTGTTTCACAGCTATGATTAGCTTTATAAGCAGACTGAAGTTCCTCATTTAATCCATTTGAACATAGATATTCCCAGAGTTGCGTAGCCACTACTTTTTCTGTCGCCTTGGACACAAGCATGAGGTTCGATACCGGTCTGAAGCTTGGATAGAGCTCAGTGTCAATAGACATTGTTTTAAGAAGAGGAGATAGAATAGCCCCTTTCGTAGGCAGAGGAACTTCACCACTTTCTAAAGAGCAATTAACAATCTTTGTTATGATTGGTACCAAATCAGAAAAGCACAACTTAAGTAAGTTAGAAGGAATCGGGTCTAGAGGGCACGACTTCCTAGCCATTTTAGACATTAATTTGCCCAGTTCGACAGCAGTAGTCGGCTTGAACTGGTTAAACTCACATTGAATAGAGGGATTATCAAAACGGGAAAATCGGAAAGGGATATCAGGCAGTGCCAAAGAGTCTAGTTTCGATCGAATTGTGGCAATCTTGCTTGAGAAAAATCGCGAAGTTGTTACATAATTCTTTTGCAGACTCGCAAGAAGGGTAACACTTCTCCGGTGTCAGGTTTAACATGCGGTCAATGGCGGAAAACAACACCTTGTGATTGCCTTTGTTTTCTTTTATCAAATCAGGATAAAACTCCACCTTTGCCGATGTAATTAAAGACCTGACTTGTTTGCATTTGTCTTTGTATAGTTGTTGGTGTACAGTTAGTTTGTTTTTTCGCCAGTGCCTCTCCAGTTTACGCCGTTCACGCTTTGCAGACGCAATTTCATCATTATACCATGGCGTGGAAGGCCTTAAGGTGACCACACGTCTTTTTAGGGGCGCATGGATTTCAAGCAAACTATCAAGATCATTTTGATACTGTGCTAATTAAATGGTTACATTTGCAGCCGGGGAGGCAAGTTTATCTCGTCAGGTTACTCTAATGCTACTCTGAGCATGTTTAATGTAACTGGAATTTCTTAATGGGGAAACATTGTTTTCAGTATCCTAAAATTGAAAGGTTAAATAACAGAGCATAGTTCCTAGGCCAGTGACCACCTGAACTGCTTATCAAAGAGAATTGGCTTTCTAACTTCCTCTCTTCTACCTTGGTTCTGCAAGAGCTGCGACTTTAAACTCTCCAACATTTGGTGCATCTCGTTATTTGACTTTTGCATCTCTCCAAGTCTTGCATTCAATGTTTGATTTTCTTGCACGAAGGCTCTCCTGTCCTCCTCCGCTTGCTTCATACTAGCTTTCAACATGTTATCCATTTGATCACGTTGAGCCTTTGCATCTGCCTCCATGTGCTCACGTGGTATTTTACCTTCTTCTTCAAACCTTTTTTGAAGCCGTTCCATCTGTTTTAAGAGAGCACAACCCGCGTTTTTTAGCTTGTACTTAGTTTTTTAAGTACTTACTGCGAAACAGGATATCCTGTAACGGATGAGGACATTCCTATTAAGCTATGGGAGTGACCTGAAAATCAGGCCTGCCTTCGTTCGTTTCTGGTAAGATAGTACAGAATTCCGTAAGCCTTTCCAGAAGGATTTTTTGTTTTTAAAGGAGGAGGATACAGAGAACGACCCAGGTTGTTGTTAATGGGTTTGGGGCAGTGTGGGAGAGGCACCACTTGAATCTCATCTGAAAAAGGAAAAGTGCATCGAAGGGTTGGGGGAAAATCTTTATTTCTTATTAACTCGTTGGCTTCTGGGGAGATTTCCCCGCCGCAGTCAACTTCCCAGCTGTAAGTTATTTTGTGTGGCAAAAATAATAAAAGATAAAAAGGGTTGAAGGGTAAGAGGAATGCTCGGCACGCGAGTAATCTTGTTCCTCATTCTATTAATTCTCCCATGAGGGTTAAGGTGGGCGCAAAAAGAAGCCTTGCCAACTTATTAACTCATGTTGAGATTAATAGAAATTATTTATAGTGATTTGCGTATTGCAGGCTCGTTTAATGATCGTGTC